GTGATTTTATTTTGGGGTCTATCCTATATGGGGTTCATTGAGCTTCTTGGATGGTCAGCTTTTCATCTTTCGTGATATTGGGGAAGTTCCTCCCCTGTTCTGGAACTCTGATCACTTGAAAATTTTTGCTTTTGATTGTATCCCACATAATTCTCAGGGTTTCTTCATTTTTCTTTGTTCTTTTTTCTGATTTTTCCTCAAACAGGGTTGTATTCAAGTATTTGTCTTCGATTTTGCTGATCTGTTTTCCATCATTTCAAACCTGCTCCTCAGCCCCTCTATGACACTGATCATTTCTGAAATCTTGTTGTTTATCTTTGGATTTCTAATTGTTGTTTTTGTATGATTTCTAGTTGTGAATTTATTTTGGCATTTTGTTCCTGTATTATTTTCCTGAATTCTTCCACTTTTTTGTCTGTATTTTCCATGAATTTGTCTGCCTTTTCCATGAATTTGTCTATTTTTTTCCTCATTTTTGTCTGCTTTTTGCTTCAACTCATGGATAGCTCTGAATATTAGAGATTTGAATTCCCTATCAGAGTTCTAGTGCCTTTTCTTCTACTCTAAAGTCATCTGGTGTTTTATTTTGGATGCCTACTGGAACCATCCTGTCCTGTTTTTTAATGTGTATTGGTATTGTCTACTGTCTTTGGGACATTCAGTAGTTATTTTCCTCATTTATTGATTGTAGATTTGTTTGTTTCATCCTGATTTTTTGTTTTATTTAGTTATGTCTGAGCAGGCAGGCTGTACTTTCTTGTTTGCTCATCTGTGGGCATGATACTTTTAGCCTCCTTCTCCAATGAGCAGGGCCAGTCATTCAGGTATGGTACAGCAGGGCAGTTCCAGCTGAAGAGGAGTTGCTGGGATATGTTGTTTGTTGTACATACTAGGGCCAACAAGGCGGGCTGGGAATTAGTGCAGGGCAGGTTCCAGTAGGCCATGCCTGTGCTGCTCAGGGGTGTGATGATATTCAGCACATTGTGCAGGTAGGCAGGAAGGAGGGGGAGTTTGTGATGTGTGGAGCTAAGATGGGCATGGGAAAGGGGAGAGAGAGGAGAGTGGAACAGGAGCCAAAAACATACAAACAAATAAAAAAGAGTGCTAAGGGAGCTTGCTGTTGGAGTGGAGAGATGAGAGACTGAGAAATAGAGAAAAACAAAAAGGAAAAAAGAAAAAGGGTAAAATATAAAAAATGAATAATTAAAAATTAGAAAAAGAAAGAAAAGCCCCCAGGGATCCCACTGGTGTGGCTCTTAGGACTGGGGAAGTTGCCCCCAGGCTGTGAAGTACAGCCTGGCTAGAAGGGTTAGAGGTGTCACACAGCTTCAGGTATTCAGGAGACATAAAGAGAAGGTAATTATAAAGAGATGAGAATCTGAGAAATGAAGAAAGACAAAAAGGGAAAAAGAGAGAAAAGAAAAGAAAACAAACAAACAAACAAAACAAAAAACAAGAAAAAAGAAATGCCTCCAGGGATCCCACCACGCAGCTGCACAGACTGACAGAGTAGCTCCCAAGCCACGCAGTACTGCCCAGCTAGAAGGGGCTTCCAAGCCAAAAAAAGAAAAAGAAAACAAACAAATCAAAACAAAAAAATAAAAAACAGCCCCAGGGATCCCACCACCATGGTGGCATGGGCCAGGAAGCAGTCCCACAGTCAAGCAGCATTTCGCAGCCTTTCAGGAAGAAGTATAGATGACACATGGAGCCAGGTATTTGAGAGAAAGGAGGGGAAGATTGTAAGAGGTATGGAAGAAACCAAAAGAAGTGGGAAAAGGCAACACCAGCAACCAAAAAACAGCACTTAGGAAGCCAGCCAGCGCGGACAGTTGGAATCCAACCAGCACAGGGGTAAAGCCAGTGCCTCCTGGCCAAGAGACTGTGGCCACAGGAAGCAGAGGAGGCCAAGTGGGGGTGAAGAGGGGTAAGGGGTGGGAAAGCATATATTTCTGGTTACTGGTTGTTCTGTCTCCTGCTGGGAGCTCCATGAAGCTGCTTTCCTGTACTCTCTGTTCGCCAGCCTCCGAGAGGATTCCAAGATGGCAAATCCTGCTGCATTAGCTGATAGGGGACCTCTGCACATATCTCTCCTTGCTCTCTCTGTCAGTTTCTAATTTCATTCGGTGCTTGGCTGAGTTCTTTTTCTCTTCATTTGATGCTTAGGGTTTCAGGATTGATGTTTGTCTCTGTTTAACTTAGTTTTTTGGGTCTTTGCTGTGGAAGGACAGCATGGTGCTTCTGTCTATAGCACCATGTTGCTCCTTGCCCCTCAGATAAATTCTTAATTCAGGTAATCCCCATCTTCTTATAATACAGTCCTTATAAAACAAAAAAAAACCATTGCCATCAAGTCGATTCCAACTCATAGTGACCCTGAAAGGACAGAGTAGAACTGCCCCATAGGGTTTCCAACAAGCACTTGGTGGATTCAAACTGCCAACCTTTTGGTTAGCAGCCGTAGCTCTTAACCACTGCGCCACCAGGATTACAGTCCTTAGAAAGGAAAAATGAGCACATACCAGTCAGCCTTACCCCTCCTATGTTTACTGTACACACACATTGAACCCCACCATTAATCAGCAAAAGTCTACCTCAGTCATCCCAGATAAACTGGATTGTTAAAAGATGCTGTAGAATGAATTCTAACCCCACCCTCACTGTCAAGGGTTTTCCCTTAATTCTAATGTGAATTGCCTTTGTTGCTATTTGATGGTGGCAGGGAATTAGTCAGAATAACTTCTTAAATCCATCTCGACTTCATGATTTCAAAATTTACAGTACTATGTCTATATATTAAGAAGCCCTGGTGGCACAGTGGTTAAGTGCTCGGCTGCTGACCGAAAGATCGGCTGTTCAAACCCACCAGCTGCTCCAAGGGAGAAAGATGTGGCAGTTGGCTCTTGTAAAGATTATAGCCTTGGAAGCCCTATGGGGCAGTTCTACTCTGTCCTGTAGGGTCGCATCTCTGTGAGTCTGAATCGACTCAATGACAATGAGTTTGGTTTGTTTTTTTTTTTTGGTGTGTTTGTTTTTGGTCTGTATATTGTCACCTCTAAAATAAGTACTTTTATGTACCCAGAGGAGCCAGATTCTATCAATGAATTCTGGGATTAAATTAAGGAGTCTGAGAGGTACTGTAAATATGTGAGGGTTTATGTACATACTTATTTATTCTTCAATTATAGCACACTATTCTTTATACCTAATCAGCTGAGCCCGTCTAAATTATTTTCCTTTAAATGTACATCTAAATACCAGGTATTATAACATTGTGATTTTTATAATTACTACGTTATTGGAAAAGTCCTCAGTTTTAACCATATTGTTTTATATTATTTATTACAGGACAACGTGATAGAAATCGGTAGCAATTGCCCGACTAATGAATCTAACTTTTTAAAAAAGCATTCATGTGATGATAATAAGGTAATGATAATTATTTGAAGTTTATATGCCATTCAAGCTTGATTTTGTAGAAGCTTTATTTCTTGTGCCTCTGTTAGACAATTATATTAATAACATATTCCTTCAGTTCTAACCACACATTTCCCATTGATCTACTAAATTATACTCTGATCTTCCTTTATACTTTTATTTTACAAATAACCTCATGTTTATCAGATTTTTCTGTTTTGGCATTCGATTTTTCACCTTGAAAATACTAGAAAAACTACTGAACTCAAGGACACACGTATTTCCTACTTCTGAATTCCTTTTGCAGGAAAGTACTTGTTAGAGTGATTACTTGCACACACACAAAACACACATGAACGTAAGTCATAGGATAATTTGATTGCAGGCATTTTGGATTTTTTTCTTTCAATGTTTGCTTATCTTTTAACTACTGCCACCTCCCATTGGCATAATATTACAATCTACAAAACTTTCAAAAGTTTGTGTCATTTCTTTGTAGAGAAACTAGTTTTTTATTTGATAGTCTTTTTAAAATCAAAATAGCTGAGTTAACCGCATGACATCCCATATTATATCCATACATTCTTCTTTTTAATTTCTTGTTTTAAGTATCTTTAAGTACCTGTTTTAGGTCAATATGGCTTTTTATTTTCTTATTACAAGCTATTCATCTAAAGCTTAAAAGGTTCAATAAAACCACACATGTTGTTGTTGTTAGGTGCCATCAAGTCTGTTCTGACTCATAATGACCTTATGTACAACAGACGGAAACCCTGCCGGATCCTGCACCATCCTCACAATTGTTGCTATGTTTGAGTCCATTGTTGGCAACCACTGTGTCAGTCCGTCTCGTTGAGGGTCTTCCTCTCTTTCACTGACCCTCTACTTTTGATGACTGGTCACTCTTGATCCATGCCCAAAGTACATGAGAGAAGTCTCTTCATCCTCGCTTCCAAGCATTCTGGCTGGATTTCTTCCAAGACAGATTTGTTCATTCTTCTGGCAGTCCATTCAGTATTCTTTGCCAGCACCATAATTCAGAGGCGTTGATTCTTCTTTGGTCTTTTATTATAGTAGCTTCCAGAAATCTTCTCTTTTGGATATCCTGTTTACAATAATCTTGTCATATGTGCACACTTAAGTGATAAGTTGACATATATGTAAGAGAGAAGAGACCGGTCAAATAGAAAATTAAACTTTGTTCTAAGCACTTCACACTGGCATCTACGAGCTAAACAGTTTCGGTCCTGTTATTTGTCAGTCATGTGATTAACTGGAAAAGAAAGCTAGGGTGGAGGTGGGGCGTGGCTTAGAGATAAGACTCTGCCTTTAGGCTTCTTAAGAAAGTTTATCATTTCATAATGCTTTATTTGAACCACAGCCCTTCTGACTTTCTTTCTGAAATAGGAAGCTATGTTTCTATATCGGGCTGCTCGCAAGTTGAAGCAATTTCTTAAAATGAATATCAGTGAGGATTTCAATCTCCACTTATTAATTGTTTCAGAAGGCACATTAAAACTGTTGAACTGCACTGGCAAGGTAAGCTGACGACTGTTTACTTTGATCAAAAATAGAAACTACTCCTGTGTTGCATACTTCATTTCTCTGTAGGTCATTTCCGTTATCTAGAATTCTAAGTGTTCATTACAACTTAGAGTTGAAATACATCTACTCAACTCTAGAAGAGGAAAGTATCAACTTGGAAACTGCTTATTCATCTCTGGCTTAAGGTGATAAATAATTTATGAAGGGGTAGTAAAAATAAACGAATGGGTACCTCATTGCCATAGTAATTTCCAAGGAGACAAGAGTGATAAGTTGAGTGGAGAATGGTAATTTTTTTATCTTTAAAAACCTATTAATAATTTTAATCCATATATACACATGTTTATAAGAACTCCTAACAAATAAAACAGGTAATCAAATACATCTAACAAATATCTTTATGTGCTAAAACTGAGCATGTATGTGGCCACCATTTTCCATTTCTTTGCTTTAATAATTCTGATATGGCTATGGCTCATTTTTCTTATGAAATATAAAAACAAAACAAATTCTGGGAGACATTATCTTGAGACTGGACAACAGTTTCCTTATCTACAAAATGAAGAAAAATATAGCATCTACATTATAGGATGTTGAAAGGATTAAATAGCATAGTTCATGTAAAATGCTTTGTACGAAAAAGGCTTCAGTAAATGTTAAATATTATTATTATCATTGTCATCCTCTTCAAGGATTTTACCATCTGCCACACAAAGACAAAAGATTTAGTATGATTTTAAAAAATTAACATTTTTATGATATAAAAAGGATTTTTGTTTGGTTTTGAATACCTGTAGTTTCCCACAGAAGGAAAAATGGTAAGATTTTCTTTAAACCCCATTGGCAGTGATGAAAATAGAGATTATATAACTTGGACAGCTTCATTTATCACTGCTTTATTTACCTGGTGCAAACCAGTCCCCTGCTGGTATTCTGGATTTGCCAAACTTATTTCCAGTTTTGTGCCCTTACTTAGGTTAGGAATTTCTCCATTTCTCTGCTATAAACCTAATGGCAGAGAGGTTTCATGTTCCTTACATGTTCCGATTGATTAGTAGTGACTATTGGAAGTAGTATGTTGAGTATAAGCCTCGTATCTGGAGTCAGCTCAAAAGAGTGCAGAACAGACCAGTGATGTCACCTCTTGGCCCAGGAAGGGTCGGGGTCATAGGTATGCTATAGATTTGCAATCCTTTCTCTCATGTTTCAAGCTTTGCATGGATCACCATGTTTCAAAAGCAACTAAGTGTAGAGAAAGAAAATACACAAATAATTCAAATGTTTAAATACAGTTGTATTACATTAACCCGATATATTCCACCTTTTCCTTGAAATGAACAGGCAAGATATTACAGAAGACAGTCGGCTACATTGAATTTTTTTCATGAGCCAGACATGCTCTTCTGATGGGTGAAACTTGATAAAATGTATGGACTGGATTACACAGTTTAATACTAATTTATTTTCATGTTGACTTAAATGCTAGTTTTGTCTCTTTTAATATACCCCTCTATGTTAAATTACCATACCTCACAGCATTTAACACAGTGCCGGGTATACCTAAAAAATTATGGATCCAGGGCATTCAGACAACTAACCTCTGCTGCTTCCTCCTTTTCCCTGATATTCTATTTCTAAATGAAATTAGTATTCTGTCATCCTAGCAATCAGGAATTTAAAGTAGATTCTCAAATCAATTAGGTGAGCTGAGAGTAATATGAAAATTAGCTATCATAATTAATGAGAGAAGCACTAAACAATTAATATTCCATATTGTAAATGTGACTTTGTTTTTAAGGTTAAAGAAAGAAAAGCACCTTCCCAGGGTGAAGGCCAACCCATTAAGAATTTGGTGAGATTAATTGTATAATTTTTTAAATAATGATTCATCAGTTCTTTACTGAAAACAATTCCTTAATGTTTCTCTTTAAATTGTTCTTTTTCTCCTCTCTATGATTGGTTTTGAAAATATTCATTATCATGTTAATAAAGCGAATAGGGAAGCCTCTGTGAAAATTGGATCTCTTTCAACTGCATTTTAAAAAATTTTATTTTAAAATAAAAGAAAAGAAGCTAGAGAAAATATCAGAGTATTGATTTTTTTTAAAAAAAGCAACAACATTAACACCTCAATAGGAAATAGCCAAAAGACACAAACAATTTATAAAGGAGAAAATTAATATCTGAAGGAAAAAACCATCCTTGCTAGTTACTAAAGAAATGTAAATTAAAACACAGAGGATCTATTTTATATCTATTTTATTAGTATGGATAGATTGTATAGTTTATATAATATATATTGTGTTTTTACACAAATAAAGCATACATTATACGTTTTTTACCAACTGTGCAATCCCCTCGTGCATTATTTTCCTAGGCACACATTATATGTGTGGGCGTGTTATTTACATGGGCACATTATTTGTATGCTATATGTATGCTACTCTGTATATAGTAGTATAAATAATCTATTTGTATATTGTATTTATACATATATACTAAATAGATACCAATATAGAAAACTATATAGCAATAGGGAAAATATTTATGAATGAATAAACCAAAAGCCAAACCTAACCAGTTGCCATCAAGTCAATTCCGACTCATAGCGACTCTATAGGATAAGTAGAACTGCCCCATAGGGTTTCCAAGGAATGATGCGTGGATTTGAACTGTTGACCTTTCGGTTAGCAGCCAAACTCTTAACCACTGTGCCACCTGAAACTTTAAAATTATATAAGCACATAACTAGTACAGGGCATGGAAAAATAAACACGTCTGGTTTCTGAGAGTGACTGGTTCTTCATTTAGATTTCCATAATTATTATAAGGTTATTTGACCAGTAAATACATGGGAAGATAGAAATTCATTACTTTTCTTGGAGAAGCAGAGAGAGTTTGCACACCCCAGGACTCAGGAAACCCTAGGAATTCCACCTGAAATGGAAGATTTGAAATGAATGCAGGAGCTAAAAATGATATAAATGTGCTGAGGGCCTCTGGCTAAGAAAACACAGAAAGAACATTTAGAAAAGGGAGAGAATCTCTGTGTTCCCAGGATTGCAGAGTTAAAATCAAGGGTCTTTGTTTTTTTAAGGAGTACCCATTCTTGGTCTCTTAGGGATAGTCATATGTTTTCACATTTATGTATTTCAAATGTGCTTAGTCAAGTAAACTTCAATTTGTACTTTTTAAAAATGTCCTGGGACTCTCATTAAAAAATTATGAATTTGCCTCCCTATTTATCTTTAAAATCTATTGTCTAATCTTTGAAATATATTATTGAGAGGATTATGTGCTAGTGTTAATACATATATAACTAAAAGAGATCCTAATTTGTGACCGAAGTTTAAATATATCTATATATATAGGGCTCTGGATTAGGACAGACTTGTACAAGAAACCCAGTCATTCTACTTACTAGCAATGTGATCTTGGCATGTTATTTATTCTCTTTGAAGCTCAGTTTCCTCATCTGTGAAGTAAGGTGAAATTATCAAGTTCATAAAGGTTGTTATGTGAATAAAATGAAGTAATGTATGTAAAGCATCGAGCATAATACCTGACCTGGGAAACACCCAATAACTGGTTGTTATCTAAAAATAATTACCCTACTCTATACTAACCTCCCTACCCTATACTAACCTTGAAGCCCTGGTGGCTCAGTGGTTAAGAGCTCAGCTGCTCGCCAAAAGGTCAGCAGTTCAAATCCACCAGCCATTCCTTGGAAACCCCATGGGGCAGTTCTACTCTGTCCTGTAGGGCCACTATGAGTCAGAATCCATTCGACGGCAACGAGTTTGGTTTTTGTTTTTGTTTTTGTTTTTTTAATATACTAACCTGAGAGTCCCTGGGTGATACAGACAGTTAAGTGCTTGGCTGCTAACAGAAAGGTTGGCGGTTTGAGTCCACCCAGAGGTGCTTTGGAAGAAAGGCATGGGGATCTACTTCCGAAAAATCAGCCATTGAAAATCTTGTGGTGCACGGTTCTACTCTTACACACATGAGGTTGCCATGAGGTGGGATCTACTCAACAGCAGCTGGTTTCTGCGTGAACTCAGTTATATTCCTGTGAGCCTTCTGGCCTTGGGGAGTGAGGTTAGTATAACCCGTTGCCACTGAACTGATTCGGACTCATGATGATCCCAGGTGTGTCACAGTAGGACTGTGGACCATAGCATTTTCAATGGCTGATTTTTCAGGAGTAGATCGCCAGGCCTTTCTTCTGAGGTGTCTGTTGGTGGACTTGTACCAAGTGAGTTCATTTGCACTACCCAGGGACTCCGGATTCATGCAGAGCTATTCCCTTCTAGTTCTCCACTTTCTGTAAAGTTTTACGATTCTCATCAGGGGCTGAAAATTAGCTTATGAGACAGGCATCTTCCATGCCCTGGTGAAGGCCAGATGATGGGGTGGACCCTAGGACACAGGCACGGCCAGGTATATCCTTATAAACCTCCTTTGAGAAAACAAGCTGAAGATTTTCAGTGTTAATTTATTACCTCCACTGAACCTACATTTTCCCATGTTTTATTGTTTGTTCGTTTTTGTTTTTTCTTAGTGGAAAGAATAATATTTAAAAACTGTTAAAAAAAAAAAAAACCTCATTGAGTAATCTACAAATATTTTTCTCACAAAAGTTTAAACAGTATTATTATGTCTAAAGCTGCAGTGTGAACATGGCAGCCATCTGACCTAGCACTTTGATTAGCCCTACATAATAAACCACACCTACCTTCAATTTCTCACACTTCAGTGATCAAAATTATACTTAGAAGTCATAGGTTAAAAAAAATCCTGCAAGATTCTCCTCTTTCATTACACCAAAACTTGTACCAAATTTTCAGTAAGACCTAACATGATGGAAATTAAAGACTATTACAAATCAATTGACTACTAAAAAGCTCATATTTTTATAAAAGTGTGTAAATAAAACTTTTGTATTTATCTGTCTAGGAAGAAAATAAATTGTTGAAGGAACAGAAAAAATGGAATGACTTGTGTTTCCTAAGGAGACTACTAGAAAAGATGAAAACTTGTTGGAATAAAATTTTGAGAGGTGCTAAAGATCCCTGAAAAATATGGAAGGGCAATATAGAACCCTATGAACTTTAGTTGCATCCATCAAAATTTGCTCATGCAATTTTTTTGGGATAGAATGCCTCCTAGATGCTACTGAATGCATCCTGGTTAAAGTGGATTACAGCCGTTGAAAAGAATCCATATTTTAATACTAGAAGATGGACATTAACAGTGGAAAACAAATGCTGCAATCAACAATATATTTTATATGTTATGTGGGCACGTATCGATCTGTTTTAATTCTGAACTGATTTTGTATAAGACAATTCATATAAGGTACCAGTTGCAATAATACTTTATAAACTTGTTTGAGAATTTCAGGGAAAAATATCAAATCTATGAAGTATATAATGGTTGCAGGGATGGAGTCAAAAATTAACATTGTTTAATTATCAAAGTAATTTTATGGCCCACTCTGCATCAGTAGACTGCATTAAGAGTGGAAATTTGCATCTTCCTGGCTGGGAATATTTCAGGGTTAACAGTGAGCTATGAGTAACGCCCGTGAGGACAAGCTAATCATACCTTACAGAAGCAACAGCATAGAGAAGTTCGAGATACTTACGAGAGTTATCAAGAGACGTAACTAAACATGAACGCTTAATATAGGGCCTTCAACAAATGGTATATCAAATGTATTTAAATGGAAATAAAGGATAATTTCAAAAAAAAAAACAACAACAGAAACCCATCTCTTCTAAGGATGCTAAACCTTAGTAATGAGTTACTTTTGCCAGGTATGTATAATAAAACTTGTCTAAATGAGTTTGCGATTTGTGAAGTATATTTTTGAAAGAATAATATATGTTGGCCTTTATTCAATGCAATATGTGTATTTAATTTTGACACTGTATCTGTATATAAAAATATTTTCATACCGTTTACAGACAAATTGCTTACTTTGGATAACATTTCTCCTTTGATAATAAATGTCCTATGCATTAACACTACCAGATTCATTTAATGATCCCCAACAGAATTTTTAAGATGAAATTTTTGATATTGCACCATTTGATCTCCCACTTACACTGAATATAACATCCTTCATAGCTTATTACCCAGAATCTTATTACCCAAAATTAGATAAGAGCAGGAAAACTACTTTCTGACATTGTTAAACTCTAGCCTTTTAAAAGATTAGGGTCACATAACAATGTATGTATAAAATTTTGTGTGGGAGACTAACTTGAAATGTAAACTTCAATTAACTACAACAATAAAAAAAATAAAAAGATACCTTTGTATATACAAGACCCTGTTAAAGTGAGGTCTGCAGACAGTCCTTACTCACTTATAAAGGGAAATGGAAATGCTGTTAGAGGCGGGCCAGATTCCTGAAACAGCTACCAGTTTGCAGTTTGTTGGACTTGCATGCTCCATGCCCTCTCACGACTCCACCACATCTAAGTCGCTGCTGACTGGCTTTATTTGACCTACAGAAGATGCTCAGGTGACACCTGGTAATATTTCCTCTCAGTCTGCGTTTGTCTCTCTGCTCTCCTCACTCTCCCCAACCTGTACTGAGTTCCCACCTCACTAGTATAGGTAGTTGTACAGAATTGTTTACAGTTGTTATTTATAACTGTAAAGAAGTCACGGGAATACCTCACCAGTGGGGCTTTGGGTCAAGATAGTTTTCTGTTTGGCTTCAGTGTGAACTCCGGAAAAGGGAGTTGATTAACATTTTTTAGGAGCAAATGATCCTCCACGAAGTCGTAATATGTTCATCTATGTGGTACACCTCAATCCTGATGAACTGGTGGTATTGGTAAACCGTCAGTCATAGAAATTAGGAAATTTAAGTTTCTACAGGTAAGTTGAAACTGTTTCCTTGAGGGCTGTCTGTAACATTTCCTAACAACGTTGAAAAAATTCTCTGAGATTGTGATAAAAATAAGAAACAGTATTTTTTTAAATGCTTACTAGAAGCATTCATACGATCTTCTTCCTTGGTCATGTCATTATTTGTTTGTGATAGATTTGAATTTTTGAGAAAATTCACACTCAAAAAAGTTGATTCATCATATACTATGTGTCAAATACTTGGGGGAAAATGCCTATATATTTATGGCTTTATTTCCCTTCTTTGTTTCCTACCCACTTGTAAGTAGGTAAGGGCAAAGCAGGGTGATTAATAATGATTAAGAATATAATAGTTTTACTATTTCTGCTCCATTATTAAAGATGTGTTTTGTCTGCAGGAACATACTTTCTTTCAAATGTGTATATGGATGCTTTATATCAGCATTTTCCAAAGTTTGTTCTAAGAAGTCCTAATCCTCATAGATGCTAGAAAAAGAGAGAAAAGAAAAAAATGAAAGGGAATTCTGTGTTCTGAGATCATAGAAATTTTCTCTTGGATGTTCACAATCCATGTAGATATATTAGTGGTTCTGGGAATTCAAAAAAGTTTATTGTTTATAAAATGTATTTGACTACAGAACTATACTTTTATGTAAAAATAATTAACCTAACACATTTTGGGGAATATTTGCTTTATACTAAAGATCTCAGTTTAACAGTCTTGTAAAACAGGATTTCAAGGAACTTGCTAAAGAAATCACTCTTCAGAAATGTTTCTCTCTTTTAAAGCTTCATCCATGGAAAACCTGAACTAGAAATTTTTTTTTTTTTTTTTTTTGCTTTAGTCCATACTTTCATTAATAGCCAGCTTAAGGAAGAAAGCTATTTTACCAACTCCACTATAAATATTTCTTCAGAAACACACATCCTGTACACTCCTCAGACCAGTCTTTATGCTGCTCTATACACGTCATCTTTATGTCTTTATTCATGATGTTCTCACTACGTTAAAAGCTCTTTCAAATTTTATCCAGATTTTGTTCAAACCTCAAGGGTCATCTCAATTCTTTCTCTCCTCTGGAGATTCTTTTTGTTCCCTTTAGCTCCTAATGGGAATAAGCAGATATATGGTAGTAAGTGAGTAAAACTGAATTGCATTTAAGTATTCTATTATTAAAATCTATTTAAATAATCCAGAAAATACATTTATACAATAAAAATATAAATTACATAAGATGGATATGATAGGACCTCAGGACTAACTAATTTCAATTTAAGAAAATATGACCCAACCTCAACATCTCCATGGAAATTTCTTTGGTTTCTAAACTGTATTTGTTGTGAAACATCTCTCAGTCTTGATTCTGACCAAATTTTAGGATCTGTGGAAACAATGTAAGACAAGAGAACAAAACAGGTAGGTACGTAATTGCCAATTTCAACAGTTTTAAATATCTAAATATAAAAATGCATGTATTCACCTTGATCCACAAAATCAGTTAAGTATTCAAGAAAGATTTAAAATGGTCATTTTATTTTGGGAAGAACCTAAGATTTGCTTTTGTTTGTTTTGCATTCTCTCCATATAAAATGGTAAGAAGTACATTTTTCTGTATAAGGTAGAAAATATTCTAAAGAGGAAGGGGAGAGATTAACATAACTTTCTAAAAGTGAATTAATTTTATATAAATATTTTACATGAGAAAAGTTAAGGCAAGTGGCAACACGGACAATTGTTTCCTACTCTTGCTTGCTAGATTCATTCCTTTTCAAGGCCCAGTCAGAAGGTCCCATTGTTTCTGAAGCCTTTGCACACCTTTCAAGGGGGGGTGGACCATTCTTCCTTTGTGCCCCCACTGCTCAGTTCAATCAATAATGCTTAATAACCTACCATATGTTAGCATGTGAGAGATGGACATATGATTGTCAAATTTCACCTTCCATTCTTATCAGAAATGTTCTTATGTCTGAAGTAATCTGATTCAGTTGGAAACATTTTACTTAAAAATTTATTTGGGCAGAAAACCTTGTAAATGTTTGGAAAAGGTCTGAATTCTGTGACAATGGAAGGAGTATGGTTTGCAGAACATCCAATCAGGTGAGGTGACGGCTTTTTGGTAGAACCAGAAAGATCTTCCAGGGAAGTGCAAGAAGATGTTATCTACACCATCATCTCTTTGTCTGTCATGCCCTGAACTGAAGAAAAGAGAAAGGAAATGGATCTGTCTTTTGCTGTGAGTAAACTAATGGCTAGACTGATAAATCTTTCTGTTTAAGAAACAGGTGTTACTTTCCTTAGAAGAAGTTAGATACCAAGGTTGGGACTAATCTCTTCAGAGCCAAGTGGGGGTTTAAAGAAGCTCCAGCTTTTGAACACAGACCATTTAATGGGAAGATGTCACACAAATACAGATAATTCATTCACATAACAAATGTTTATTAAGCATCTTCAACATGCCGGTTCTGATGCTAGGAGTACAATGAAAAATGCAGACCAAGTCCCTGCCTTCAGGAAGTTTCCAGGAGAGGCAGGAGGCAATAGCAACTGAACAATATCATTCCAGAAAAGAAGTTCTACTGGGGAACAAAATGGGCTATGAGACAGATTGGTGGAAAAAGGTGATATATTTTAGGTAAGGTGATCAAGGAAGATCCTTCTGAGGAGGAGACATTTGAGCCTAACAAGGGTTTCACAAGAATACAAAGGAGCTTCTTATTCATGCCTATGTTTTAGTACTTTTCATACTGCGTTTGTTACAACTACTTATGTACATGTCTGTCTGTCCTACTATATTGTACCAAACAATAAAGAGAATTGACAGATGAGCTAAGCAAGTTGTAGAGACAGAGGGATCTATCCCTGGAGCTTCCTCAAGACCTACTGATCTGCCAGTTCTAATCCATTTGCACCTTTTATTAACCCCCTTTTCTCAAGGTGTTATGGACTGAATTGCATCCCCCTCCGTCGTCCAAAGTATGCTAAAGCCCTAGGCCCTGGTACCTGTGAACGTGACCTTGTTTGGAAATAGGGTCTTTGAGATATTACCAGTTAGGTTAACACAAGGCCATGCTGGAGTAGAGTGGGACCTAATCCCTTCCAAGACGTGTTTTCTAGAAGAGGACAACAGAGAGGGAGAATCAGTCAAGGGGAAGACTGTCTTGTAAAGACTCGTGGGAGATTCACGGACTGGAAGGTCATCTTGTGAAGGAGGAAACTGCTCCTTTTGCGTTGCTCTCGGTTGGGGAGGCAAGTCTCAGCCTGCTTCAACTTTAAATCTTATAGTACAATATTATTCTGAGAGCTATGTGTTAAGAATACTTAATTTGATTAATACATGCAGCCACTTTAGAGAGTAGCAGGAGACAGCTATTTTCTCTTACCTTCAATTTGTCACTAATTTAGGGACTAAAGAGCATATACTCAGATAATATGCTTAAGCCAGATCATGACTCTCCCCTACTCAAAACCCTTCCATGGCTTCCTGTCTTCCTCTGAGTAACCCAAAGCCATCTGACCAGCCTCTGAGGCGTACACACCCTGGCTGGTTATGTCTGACTTAGTGTGCTACTCCTCTCCTTGCTCACACGATTCCAGAGGTCCTGGGCTCCATCTCAGAGCGTTTGCACTCTTATTCACCCTCTGTATGAAATACTCTTTCTTCTCGTCAACCCGCGTGTTTCACCCACACTGAGCACTTTTTAATAGAAAGCACTAAAAAATAATGATCTGATAAACAATGAAGGGCAGTAAACCAAAAAGAATAAACAATAATGGCTCACCCCCTCTCATTCACATCTTTGCTCAGATACCACTTTCTCAATGAAATCTTCCCTGAATGCCCTGTTTAAAATTATAACCCACGCCCACGCCTGTC